TAACTGTCAAAAAACATTCAGGAGCTGTTTTCATGATAGAAACTCAATGACAGTTTCAAACTAATTATGAGTCATAACTTATTCAAGAACTTCTACGACAGTTTTCTGGGCTGTCAACATTATTCCAGGATCTCCTGTCCTCTTTTTTGCTGAGCTGTTACGTTGTTAGACGCAAAGAAAGGCATGTAACAAGCAGAAAAATCACTAAACTTACAGACTCTTATCTGATGGAATCTGCTGGATAAATGGAGTTAGGGTTTGTTCATACTACATGCAGAGCAGCACAGAGAAGATTGTAGTGGTCAGTCTTTCACATGTAAGCAATCAATCATTTGCTTGGAGGCAAATTTCCTGAGCGTGTCACTCGCCTGGTAATGGTGTAAACAGCTGAGCATATGTACATTGAAAACTAACTACTAACTAACCGCTACTATGCACTCTGCTACGCGCCGCCCTGCTCAGCTTGTAGTGTGAACGAACTCTAAAGCCAAAGGGACAATGATGGGTGTCATAGTATTGCCTTATTTTAAATAATAGAATAACCCAACCCATCACTCCTCTAAACTACAGGCTTCTAATAGACTACTCCATGTATATATTGCCATGCACTGTTCTTCGTACAATTTTCTCCACTAACATCCACACCCATATACCATGTGGTGTCCTTTGATTTGATTAATAGCTCGGCCTCTATTACAGGTAAGAAAACCTGATCATTGTTTCCCTTATTTAGACCCCCCGCTGCACTGACATCTCTTACTGGAGATATGGAGACACTCTTCAACATATTCTCTAGAAAATCAACACAAAAATTGATAAAGAATAGACTTTAATTCACTTATTTTCACAATTTTTTTTTTGTAAACAATGAATTTCAAAACTATCCGCCATATTTGTGTACAATACGCTTCGCCTCATTATGTTTTCTATTTTCTATTGGGTCGTGACCTCCATGTGGCTGTGGTAGTTAGGTAGAATATTTTTCTTGACCATACAGCATAATTTAGGGTATGAAATCCTCTATTTTTAAAGGAAGCTCTGTTTTAAAGTTATTTTTAGAAGTTGTCATTTAACAGTGTAAGGGAAACAACTCTCATCTCCCCATGATATTCAAGTCTCGATTGTCACACAACGTAATATTCTTATTGGCCTAACCGTCCAAATGTCATTTCGTCCCGGGGTAAGTAAATTTGTTTTGATATGACTCTAGGACGATATTAAGACAGTTTCTACCAAATCAAAAGATAAATTGAACAACTAGAAACGTATGCAGTCGTAAATGATCAGAGAATTCGCAAGTTTTATTACTTCTTCAGAACCTGAGGCGAAGTGGTAAAGAGGGCGAAATGACGTTAAAATACCTTTATTGACTCTTAAATCTGAGAGCTAGTAACAGGAAAAGATAACTCAGTCCATACTAAGCCGACTTCAGACAACAAATAACTAACAAATTAACCCATTTTACACTATTTTTGTAAATAAAGACAAAACTAATAAATCTAGCACAAATTCAGATTTTTTTTACATGAAACTAGTGTAAAGATCTGTCCATTGTTCAACTGAACAAGCGTAAAGTGATCCAGAGTCACTGTCAAAGTGTGGGGGTCTTGATTTGTTTAATAATATGTTTGATAAAGGCAACAAATTAAAAGCCGGGCATCCACTTGAGAGTTTTATAGAACGAGTTCGCTCTCCGAGAGTAACGCGCGAGTGGATGGTATTTTGCGAGAAACTGTTGGACAGGCGCAACCAACTCTCGATGAGAGCTATTTCTCTCAAGTGGAAGGGGGTCTCCTATAAAATGTCAGGCATCAGAACCCAGCTGTCGATAGAACTGCAGCGAGTGATTTTCTGTCAAGTGGAAGGGGGTCTGCTACAAACTGTCGAATACAGATTTCTGTTTGAGAGTGCTCTCAAATAATAGAACAGTGTTCTATTTCTGCGAGAACTGTCAGCTTTTTTTTAACAGGCCTATCATATTTTTCACAACACCTGGAGTCTGAAATATGTCGAAACGTACGGAATGGACGCATGAAGAGATTGAGCGCCTCATCACAGAATATGAAACTCATCCTGTGCTTTGGGATGTTCAATCGACTGAATTTCCAGACAGGCAGAAAATGAACGATGCATGGAAGAACTTGGCTGAAACGGTACAAAAAAACATTGTGCACTTTTTTTCTCTATTTTGTCTTTCCATCAATTATAATCATAGCTGCAGCAATGGACAACAACATTTTCCAATCGGCAGTTGTACATCACAACTTTGTCTCTCAGGACACTCTGATAGTTACTCGCAAAAAAATTTACTCTCAATTGCTCTCAAATGGAAGGAGCACGGACAGTTCTCTCGCGAGTGACTCGCGAATACTCGCAGGTAAAACTCTCAAGTGGATGGCCAGCTTAAGTCAAACATGACTGGAAAATAAGATAATACATATCCCTAAAACACTGTTTCATTTGTGGGGAATGAGGCACCTATTTAAAGGGAGAAGTAGGCTTAAATATTTTTTTTTAAATTAATTTTGTTTCCTTTTTTTAAAATCAAAAGAACATAATTCTGAGGCATTTTATTTTTTTTGTCTTTATTAATTTTTTTGGTATGTAGCAAATTAGAGAAGCACTGCGGTGGTTCTTGCTGTCTGGTTTTTGTTTACATAAATTTTTGTTTATGATTTTCGGAACTTGGAAATGAAATGAATGATGACTTTACGTCTTACATTTCTGCAGCTGCTAGTGAAGACGGGTTATGTAGCTTACAATGCATTGTGCAATAAAGGAACTTTTGCCACCACATAAAGGCATTGGCCTAAAAAATTTCGTTTTAGATTGAATTGTTGAGAGATCATTAAGGTACATGGCCGGTAGCACCCTGGGCAAAGGTTTCAATGTTCCATTCGAAAGACTGCGCCTGTTGAATTCAGAGCTTGATTAGGTTTTTAAAGGTGCAACACCAATGAAACTCCATAAACAATAAATTTCATGACTCTGTCCGCCATGTTTGTTGACAATGGCAACCTCAATATAGTCTTGCTTGTCATAGCATCAACGCTAAATAGACAGTTCAGTCTTGATTGTCACACAATGCGATATTTTTAAAGGCCAAATCGCTCTTTGTCAGTTCGTCCATGATGAATAAATTTGTCTTCAAACGAGTTCAAGTCGAAATTGATAAAGTTTCGACCAAACTGCAAGTCCACTGGAACAATTTTCTGTCTTTAATGTTAAAAAATCAAAGAATTCCCAAGTTTTAGTATTTTTGCTTGAAAAAGTTGTGCGAAGTGGCAAAGAGGGGGCGAAATGGCTTTAATAGACCTTTTTTTTACTCCATAAGAATAGAACTAGCATCAAGAAAAGATAACTCAATTAATGCTAGGCTTAGTCTCGATTGTCACATATTGCAATATTTGTAAAGGCAAAACCGCCCTATGTCAATTCGTGCCTAGTACGACTTTAAAACAAAATTTAGAACACTACTTCGACCAGACCACAAATCCAAAAATTGGCCACGTAGAGGCTTCGTCATTGACTGGCCAGTCCACCATATTGGATATCCATCACTGGCCAATCAAAGTTTGATACATATGTAATGATTCTATTAAATTCATGACCTTTTAGACGTTTTATTTGAATTACAAATGAATTACAAATTTTTCGTTTTTTGATTTAATTACAACAATTTTAATCAATCCAAAAAATTAGTGTATCCATCGGCCACAAAAATTGGCCGGCCACTGAAGTAATGACGAAGTGTCAATTGACAAAATCTTCAAATTAAAACAATAAAATCAACCCCTCTTGTCAAGGTATGTTGACAGTCTATTCTGATTTGTTTTAGGGAAAATGGTAACTATTAACACATTTGGGTTTGTCTAAGGAAGGCTTTGTCTGTTTTTTGTTAAAACGTTCATTATCACTTACTTTACATTTTCTTGCAAATATGGCGGCGATGGCTGGTCTTGGAGGAAGTAATTATGGAAAACACTTTCGACCAAAATAGGGCACTTGTCTTTTTTTTATGACTTTTGATTGTGTTTATTCCGATCACAGAAATGTAAATATACTTTGTTTTTTCGTGGGACATGGTAACCATGACAGATCGTATTGTTATGTTATGCTTTGAATTTGACATTAAACTACATGCCTATGGTATATTATAAAGCGTTATTTTTATTTTAAACTCAAACCTCTTTGCTATGATCTTCAAAATGTTTATGTCATAAATATAGGCCTATTTTATAATATCTTTTTCTTTTTTTTTTTTTTGTAGTAAATGTTGAAAATAGTATATGGACGTCTGAAAAGGGAAAGTTATGGAGCTGGATTCTACTCATCCTTTACATTCCTATACAGAAGGTTTGAAATATTTCATCAGAAATAATGACATGAGTTCCAGCATTAACAGGGAATTCAATTTAGTGACTGTGACGTCCACGCTTAAAATACCAATTGACGTGAAGTCGCGTATTCAACAGGGAGAACCTGATTGGCTGAGAACCGTTGAAGTTTTGGATATCCATATTGCCGAGGATGTCATCCAGAAAGAAATTCCAGTTTCTGTTGCCCAAATTACAAACTTACTTCATAACGAAATTAACGTAGTTGATGATATGGATATAAAACTCACTGCCGAAATTCTGGAAAATTTTAAAAAAGAAAGCACAAATTTCTCTCTGGAGCCTCTGTCAAGAATCGTTCCACAATCTACGGACGCAGAAAATAGTGTAGACACAATGGAAGGTGATCTACTTACTGATGATGAGGCAGACGGGTTTGAGTCTTCAGAATCACCAATCAAGTCAGAATTTTCTTCAGAAAATACCAATTCTGAAAATCAAAATTCCCAGACAGATTTAACAACGGAAATCAAAGATGAATCGGATACCTTGGGAGACAGAAGCACCAGAAGACCAGAAACTCGTTCAAAAAGAGCAAGGAGAAACAAGTCAAGTTCTCAAAAGAAAGACGAGGGTTCTCCTAAAAAAGGAGGAAACTGTGGGCAATGTGGGAAATATTTCCGTAATTTGACATATCATCTACCCGTACATTTATCAGAAAGGCCATTCCAGTGTCAACTTTGTGAAAAATCTTTTAAATCAGAACCAGTACTAAGACAGCACATGTATTTTCATTCTGGAAAAAAACCTTTTTCTTGTGACATCTGTAACAAATCATTTGCTTTAAAAAACACCCTGGCATCTCACATTCGCTCTCATACTGGAGAGAAACCATTTATCTGTCATGTCTGTGGTGCTAGCTATCGACGAGGACAAGAGCTCAAGATTCATGTAGCCAAACATTCTGGAGTTAAATCTTTTAATTGTGAATTTTGTGCCAAGACATTTTACTCGAAATATGACATCAAAGCACATACACGACTTCATACTGCTGAGTTGAAATATGTTTGTGAAGTTTGTGGAAAAAAGTTTCGTGCTCAAGGAATTTTAAATGTCCATTCTAAAATTCATTCAGAAGAGAAACTTTTTGCGTGTGATCTTTGCAGCAGTAGTTTTGCCACAAAAGGTTATTTAGCAAAACACAAGAAGACACATGATAAGAAACGAGACTTCAAATGTAATGATTGTAACAAATTATTTAAAACATTACATACTTATAATAAACATAGACAGGTCCAGCATTCAAATGAGCGGCCATTTGAGTGTAAAATTTGTCATAAGACGTTCAAATTGGGATATGTCTTGCAACAACATCAACGTTTGCATCGGGATGTCAAGGACTATGCCTGTCAGTTCTGTGAGAAATCTTTCACGTTTAAAAGCAGTTTGTCGTCTCATCTTAAAAACCATCATAAACAGGAACAGTTGAATGTGAGTTTGGTAGCCGATATTCAGGAAATCATCATTCCACCATTCAGTGTAATACAGGTTCCTGGAGTATCGCAGGATCCATCGGAAATAACCAGCATAGAAATCAATTATCCACTTCAACATATTCCTGATCAATAAAATATGTCTTAATCAGAGTTTTCTCCCTTTAATTGTTATATGAGGGGCTTGTATGAATTCATCCAATACTTTACTTCTGGATGGTGAACTTCTCAACTTTCAATAGCTTTGTGGCATCAAGTTAAAATTGTATGGTCTTTTTAAGACTTAGTATCCGGCGCGTAACTAGGAGGAGGGGGGAGGGGAGGGGGAAGGGAAGGAGGAGGGGGACGGGGGGTCAGTGTCACCCTGGAAATATATTCGCCTTGCCTGCTAAATTCAAACAAATTCTCAATTAAAGCTGAAATCAGTCTCTATCAGCTTTTGCCTCCCCATGCAAATGAGGCCGCCCCCTTAGCACATTTAGCTGGTTACAGGCCTGCTTAGTTTCCATTTAAATGAGCAATTCTCCCAAAAGTAAAATGCAATAGATTTACATCACATATGCACATATCTACCTGGACCATGATTTAAAATTAAAAAAAGACAAACAACACAATATATAATAAATAATGAAAACATAGCTTTATTAAAAATGAAGATATGATGATGTTATACATAAAACATAACAAAATATCAATTTACTTCAGAAGCTTGAGCTGTAAACTTAAATATAATTTCACTACCAGACATTTACTGACATATTTCAAAAAACTAATATTAAAAGCACAAGCCGAAATATTTTGTAAAAATAGGAATATTTGGACTTTTCAAAGGTTATAGTCACCTAAATATATTTGTATAAGCCAAATATTTAGATGACAGTTCCTCTTAAATACAATGAATATTTCTTCTCTCTGACAGATTAACAAAGTTTCCTAGTTGAGCAAAAGCACACTACGGAATGCAAAATTCTAAATAACAATTTATTCTCTACCTAACCTGTAGGGGATTGAAATTATTTCCTCAAAATAACATGAAAAATACAAAACATAAAGGAAAAATGATGTCTTTTAAAGAAAATGTGTTAATTAAAAAATTTGAGTATCATTAGACTAATAATAAAAGCCTGATTTCGTTTGTTTGCGTAGTGAATAAAAGCAATATTGTGATAAAATATATAACAGTATTTTAATGAGCAAATATATAACTATTTTAACAAGTAGTGAACCCTGCTCATACAACTACCTTTACTTAACAACCACTTCATTGTGGTCAATATCAGCAGCGGAGCCAAAGGGGGGAGGGGGCAGCCCCTTAAGCAAGTTTTTCAGGCAAAAATTTCATAACTGTGTTAAAGATTCGGGCAATCTCAGATATCTCGCCCCCTCTCGGGCGTAAACCTGGCTCCGTCACTGGTCAATATACAACCAATATAAGTCCCCCCCCCTACAACTTTTCAATATAACTAACAACTGATAAGAAATCCCCTTCATTACACGATCAGCGACCATGTCTTTACACCCCAAGAAATCAAAATGAGTCAATCAGACAACTATTACAGTTATCATTATCTCTGTATTGTTATTGTTTATTGGCATTTGTTAATCCTCAAAAGATTAATTAAATCATTATTTGATTATTTCAATCTAAAGATATAAAATGGCAACCAAAACAAAATAATTTTGGTGTTTATTCTGACTTAATGCTCTTCTAAGAGACCAACTCCTTTAACAGACCATTCTGGATTATTTCCTAGAGAGGTCTCTTAATACAGTTTCTACTTGATTGATAGTACATCAATTTAATTCTAACTAGGGTAAACTTATACTGGCAGTACACCATTACATTGGTCAAACATATTTTCTAAAATTTCTCTTAAATCACCATGCTTTTTTGAATTATTTGTTTATCTGAAGTAGGTAATTTTCTATCAAATTGATGTATTCCTATGCTGAAATCCATAGTCTCTACTTGTGACCTTGGCCAGTGCTTCTATAAGAGAGTATCTCTAATAAAAACCTAATACTAAAATTAACCATTACATAAGAAAACCTGGTATTTTTTGTGTTCGACTAGCATCAGAAAACTTTAAAAGAAGTCTTTATTGTAGATTAAGATGCTTAATGATCTACAATATTTGATATTGTATTGCTACAGTGTTCTAAGAACTACAGAAAACAGAACATGGAAGTAAAGTTAATTTTATAGATATAAACCTTATGAAATAAAACTTCATGTTTCTAATTTCTAAACAACATACGTTACTTACAAAATAACAATGCTTTAAGCAAATTATGACACAAAAGCTAACATTTTGTTAATACGAATATTAATGCTTAAAAATAAGAATGAATCAGATTTGAGAGATTCGGAAGGTAAAGGATCTTTTGAAGATCATGGCACATGACAGAAACCTAAGAGAAATGGAAAGTCAGACTGTTTCATGTTGATAAATCTACATCTACTGGATATTTCAAATTATTTTAAAATATGCTCAGATAGTAAGAGTAGGGGTAAGATATTGATATTTATAATAACTATAGTACCACTTGCAGCATGGAATGTATCTTAACTTGTAAAAACATGAGTATATTTCAAGATTATCTATCTGTGGTTTGATATCTTATAGGAATTGGTACAGATTGTCTGGTCTTGGATTATGTTTTTGTCTGATTATTAAGGTGAGATTAAGATATTATATGATCAGTGAGAATTTTTCGTTATTATAATTATCATATGGTCATATGAAATTGAAAAAAATCGAGTAAAAACATCGGATTGAACCAAATCATTTAAATTCAAGTTGAATTGATGATTTAAGTTAAACTCTACGAGTTCCCTCATCTCCTGACACTTTTAAAAATATTCCAGATTTCAACTAGGTTGCTTGGTGATAATTTATTCCTTATCAAGGCTCGAGATAAATATTATTAACGTTACGTTCTTTAAAAATCAGCCAATCAACAAGCTTTCTGCATACAATTGAAAATAATATTCACAGTGAGAGTTAAGTTATATTAGTGGATGAAATTACAGAGACTTAGCGAACCATGGTAGTTTCAATTAATTGATAAGAGAAGACCATTACTAGATTTGAAATTCATTAGTTAATTAACTAATTTTTAATTAAATATAAATAGTGTATAAGCAGAGAGGGTACAGACAGATACAAGATGATATGTGTAAGCTTATAAATATACCTATATATAAATAGGCTATACCTGATTCACACAACATGTAAAATAATGATATAAGCTGTGATAATAAGCTGATAAAACAGTCAAATAATGATCTAAATGACTTAATGAGATAAATAATAAAACTGATGCTGTGATAAATTATTAGTATTTCTCAGTTTGTTATCAAAGTTCAGTCAAACTGGGTAAAAACTAAACCATCATATGTTCATTTGTTCAAAGTATAAAAAGTTTAAAATCACAAAACGAAACCCAAATTCTAATAAAAACAGTTTGGCAATACATTATCAATCATAAATGAGGAAGTATTTCATAATGAAAATTAATTAAAACTGCTGATTTTTTGCATAAATTAAAAGCTAGTTTTTGAACATAGATAGAAAAGTTATTTTCCCTGACTAATCTGTGTATAAACAATCATCAATGAAATACTATTTATTAAGCATCATTTCAGGTGGAAGAAATTTAAATAAGGTTTCCAAATCTTTCTATATATATATTGAGAACACCTATAGTTTGAACTTACACCATTCTGATTTCCTACATCTGTTTTTTTAGTAATTTCATTTAAAACAGATTTAAACCACATGGTACTTGTGGTAGTGGCATTAGAATCCGGAAATGTTTCCGTGGAATTACAGGAACCATAGAAATATTCCAGGTGCAAATATAAGTATAAAGAAGTGCTCTCAAAGAATATATAAAATGCTATTAAACCTCTTTCGAATCTCTATTATTAATATAACTACAATTTTATACAAAAAATAACAATAATAATAATAAAATTAATACTAAATGAAGCTTGTATTAAAGTTTAAATTAAACATCATCGATGTCTTTTCTTTTTTCATAGAATGCTCCCCTCAAACAGGTTATAGCACCTCAAAAAGTCAATCATAGAATACTCCCTCAAACAGGTTATAGCACCTCAAAAAGTCAATCATAGAATACTCCCTCAAACAGGTTATAGCACCTCAAAAAGTCAGACATAATTCTAAATCTTAGATTTGTGTGGTTGAATTTTACAATATTTAACCTCCGAAATCAAAACAAACTTTTGATATTCTCCAAAAAAAATTAATTCAGTATCCTTAGAAATGAATATAAATTGAATGGTTTTAGAGATTCACTTAAATTTTATGAGCTTATTATTAGAAATATATAAAATATTCTTAAATATAAACCAGTGATCAGTATCATTTATGATAAAGAAGAATTGAGTATTCTTAAAGATCCATATAAATGCTATGGAGTAAAAAATCAAAACAAATCAAAATATACTCGTTAATATCTTCAAATTTAATTAGCTTCAAAAGCAAAATGAATTATTAATTCTTTAGCTTATTCTTAGTAATATTCTTAAAATATCCTTGAAAACAAGATAAATACCAGATCTAATAGCTCCAAGTACTTGCAGACAAAGATAAAGCGGATATCTAATCGACAATTACAATAACAAACTATTTTCGCTGTTAAAATAAACTGCTCAATATATCAATTATAGAGCAATAAATAAACAAACAATATCTAAATCAAATTTATCACAAAAAAATATTTTAAAAAACAAAGTAATATATAACTGCATTTCCAGAACAATGCCACTTTCTAGACGTTAATTATTCTTTTTGAAAACAACCTGAATCTGACAGACGCACCATTTTTTTTTACCAATTGTCTCAGTAACTTTTTTTTTTTAATTCATGTAACCTAATATCAGTATTCAAATCATACTCAAGATATACATGTATATCTCACCTAAATGCTTGGCAAATAACATCAATGAATGCTGTTTAAAATATCTAAAATCCAATTTAAATAACCACAATAGTAAATCAATAGGCAAGACTGAGAAAACACCCATAAAGGTGAATGGAGTATTCCAATATAAACTACAATTTTCAAATGACAAAATTAAAAGTAGAAATGATTTAATCGTAATGTACAGAATATAACTTAACAAAGCCAAGATTTAGCGTACTGAACATTTAAAATCCAAAAACAAACAATATTTATTCAGACATAGAAATTAAAACAGAACCCCTAAAAACATCTTGTTACTCAGACGCTTTGCTATCTTCAGACAACTGACCTATTTTCAGCCCGTGTTCCTACTGAAGTTGGAAAAGTAGAATTTATTCTCATGTCTACATTTTCATACAAGTCTGACATAAAAATAAGATAATTTGCTTTTTTAAAATCCTAATAAAAAGTTGAAAATTTATAAAAATGGACTAAAAGCTCCAAACATCAAACAATATGAATTCCTCGAGATGACTTCATTTCTTTACTCACCACGTGGAAATCTTTCTGAGCTGAAAATATACTCCAGATCACTGGAATTGTTTCTAAAACGGCTGTAATTTGTGGAATAAATAATAAAACAAGCACGAAAAAAAGACCTATAAGTTTGCGGCCACGCAGTGGATAAGATTTGAGCATTCCAAAGAAAAAGAGAAACAGCATAGTGCCAGCCATAAGAGAGAAGAGAAAGGCAAATAAAACTGAATTGGGTAGAGGGTAGTGTATTAATATGACACAGAACATCGGAGTGATTGGCATCATTGTCCAACATAACATCAACAAACCAATTCCACCTTTTAACTGAGTAGGAATACGTTTACTTCGTAGAACTAGGTTAATTCCTTGATACCAGCGTTTACGTTGTTTTATATAATCTAGTACCGTAAACGTACTTTTCTCCCACATCTCACCTTCCACCCAACCAAATTTATAACCTTCTTTCCAAGCCATCATCGCAAAATAACAATCTTCTGCGATACTGCCCTCCTTACCGAAATCAAATGTAACATGACGCTCGGCGCCTGCATTAGAAACATTGAACGATCCTTTCCAACTGAAAAGGGGACGATGCAGAAATCCAAGAGAAAAGCGCTGTAAACCATAATCCAAGGCGACGCGAATAAAATCAGCCATGGTAGTTATCCAATTGACGATTTCCTCATTAGCATAAGTGATAACGCCTTGTCCGAATTCATATTGTCCATCATTTATAAAATTAATAATTCCAATCAGACAATTTTCTGTTACCAAGGTTTCCTCGTCTAGATGGATTATCCAATCATTGTCACTCAAGATATTTACCTCCTCTTCCAAACAATACTGAAGAGCTCGTGCCTTGTAGAGAGTACCGTTCTTAGTTCTGTACTTATCTGGAACCACTATTTCGCGAACTTGAGAGGATTTTTTCATGCCAACATGACGATCTGTGGCAACTTCAAACACAAAATTGGCTAAGCCTAATTTAAAACATGTTTCAATGTTTCGTTGCACATTTTGTTTCACTAATTCTGGATATGTGCCTCTCGTAACTACGCGAAAACACAGAAAAGGTCCAAACATGAGCGAAGACCGCAGCACTGGTTTTTTAGGATGGGAATTAAAATAGGAAATTCCAAAGAGATTACAAGCTGACATCATAAGAGGAAGCAATAACATACATCGGATTACATATAATACAATACTTCCCAGAATTCCATATTCCTTCACTGGATCGCTAATGACCTGTTCACCCCAGGAAAGGTCACTGGTTAGATAAAAGGCGAAAAGAACGTAAGGTATTAGACACGCCACCGTCAACACATGTTTTATTTTCTGGCTCATGTTGGACGATGGGTTTTGAAAGAAATGGTACCACATGGAAGTTTTTGGTCAATCTGGATCTAGGGTCTAGGCTGGAATTTGTTACAGCATTTGCTGAGTGATCTGGAGAGTTGATATTTTAATGATGGCTGGATATTCCACACTTGAGTTAAACCGAACAATTTAATCCTGTTCTTCTCAATTATCTTGATCTGGTTGACCTTTAACTTTGGTGAGATATCCTATAAATAGAAAACAGGAGAAATTAATGAATAAAAAGGGAAGACAACTATCGTGTATCTAGGTTTAGTTGTTAGATTTGATAAAACACACGTCAAATTATCTTGCCGAGAGTTACCTATTGTGTTAGCTCAGCAAAAATTGTAATATTGAAACAGAGTGGCGTATTCAGTAGCAAAAACCATGTTCTTATTATCCCATAAATACAGCGAATCTCAAAATCAATAAACCTTACTACAGCAACTTGTACCATTTATAACTTTCATATTTCAAATACAATAAAAAAACAAAACAAATATAACAGTCCAAACGGCAAAACGAAATCCAAAACCCATAACAATAGTTTCACAAATCAATATTAGCAGCTAGTGAACAGTTCATGAGAAAGTATATAAAATATAAGTGATAATGAAAAGTGGTATCAGGTGTCTAGAAGTGTAAGCATACCCTGCCACAACAATCATGGTCCTACATTACCAGTATACTAAATAAAACTGTCAATTCTTCACAATGTGATTGGTCAGTCTGGTATGAAAATGTGAGTATTGGATTGTTTAAGTTCCCACCTGTCCAATATTTAATATTAATTACACGAGAGTATTGTATCTATCACATTGGAAAGATCAATATTTTATACTGGTCAACATCAAGTCATTATATAGAGTTTGTTATTCTGCTCTCTAGAAATCATGAAAAACTAACACTTCAACAAAGCTACTTTGTTCCTGTAATAGTAAGGAAAAGACAATTTTCTGATAAATTCTTACTCATTTCTTTGTGTTAAGGTGTTATAAGATATTCTCCTATAGAAGCACTGGCCTAGGTCATTAGTATTTTTATCTACGGCTTTTTTTTTTAAATCCTATGCAGTATGATATATCAATATGTTTGTGACAAACCCAAGAAATTACAGCCAAAAATTTGCAGCTCAAATTAGACATGACTGGCAAATATAGCATACAACATTCCTTTCTTAAACATGTAATATCATTGGAACATAACTCAAATATTATTGATTATTTATAATAAACTGTTAAAACATTATAATAATTCATATTTTTTATTAAAACACATACATACACCTGTTACATACAAATAGCAATATATATATATAGACATGATTCTGGCTGAAAATTTGAATTGTGAAACACTGACTCACTTTGTGAGTCAAAGCACCTCGCTTTGCGAGGTGCGGTTACAGCAAGGGGTCGGCCGCTTAAGGCCCCCAGAACCTCTGGGGTAAAATGGTTCAAAATCCTGAATTCTGGCATTTCCTGGCAATAAATTTGAAAGCACGACTGCCATAATAATTTATGTCCTTTCTACACAAGTTATAATGTGCAACTCGTTTTCTGTTAATTTTCCTGATAAATCGACCAACAAGTTCTTCATCAACTTTACGCTTCAGCCATTCCCATTTCCACACATTCTTTAAACCATTATCTAATAATTTTATGTCAAAATCGCGTTCAACAACATTGCTGCTGTTGAAAGCGAAAGTGATATTAAATACCGCTATGTAAGCCGATCTTTCATTGGGAGATAGGAATATTTCAACCAACCAACCGAACTTTCCTCAGAATTAAGCAGAACTTTAAAGAGCTGCTCAGAATATGGGATCAAAAAATGCTTACCATGCATTCAGTCATGGAAAAGGTGAACAAAATGTTTGCCTGTTGAAATAAATTTTCCTTTCTTCAGAATTCCTGATTTTGTTAAAATACAAATTCCAATAAAAAAAAAGGAGAAATACTGTCTAAAGCAATAATTACAATGCTTAAAACATGATGATTTATAGTGGTAGAGAAAGAAGTAGAGATATTATAAAAACTAGAATAAATATGCGTTACCAAGACGATAATTATAGTATTTATTCTTCATACCAACTGGAAACAAACTGAGACATGTCTATTTTATTATTTAAATTTTAGGTTTGAACTAAAATAGAATTGGAAGATATTTTGTTGTATTATAACTATATCAGTTTCCATCTACAAGACCAAGCGATTTCAAAGTTTTCTTTTTATTACCCCTTTCAGGGCCCTTGATGGATTGGAACACCCCCCTCCCTCCCCCTACCATTCCTTACTATTACCCCCTACCATAATAAATCCTTACTATTTCCTGATATTCTCTGAAATCTTTTTTGTATCAGAGACTGAACAGAAGGACTCTATTTTTATTGTCCAAAAACTTTGTGCTAGTCTACAAAGTGCTAATTACCCCACAGAAATTTTAAAACTGGTTACCAACTGGTAACCGCTGCCTGCTGACATCATGGTGGTGCTGTCTAGGGTCAACTCAATATCAATGTCACCTTTTCAAATAATGAAAAGTGTTTTAAAAAGTTGTAAATCTTTATTATTATAAAATTGTGTGAGTCAAATCTCAATGAATAACACATGTAAGTTTATTTTCAGATAGGTTAGTAAAACATGAGAGAAATATGAGTTTTTAGACTGCTGCTAATCACTTAAAACAAAAACTACAGGTTTAAAAATTGTTTCTACAATAAAATCAGTTAATGAGAAACTAAAAGAAGACATTATAAAACTATCATTAAATTGATAAAAACAAAAAATAACATTAATCTATTGATGAGTTTTAAAAGTTGGAAGACAATCTTATCGTTAGAGATGATATTTTTATTTGAAATCTATTTTAGTCTAGGTCTAATTTGGCTGTGACATTTCCCAAACACCATCCTGCTTTTATCAAGAGAGCTAATTACAAACAAGATTTATCTTACAGTTATCACAAACAAACTAATAGACTGATTGAAAGACTGGAAATATCTTCAATTCAATATAGGGTGTGGCTCTTTTATTATTATTATTATTATTATTTAGGTACTAACAAGTCTCAAGTGGTAAGGTTGTCTAAAATTTAGCTTGACCAGCTGATAGAAATTAATTTGAACTATCAAAGATCTATTACATTATTTAATATCCTTCAATTGAACATTTAAATACCAGCATCACTGCCAAAATCCTGTTAATATTTCCTTTCCATGGACAGATATTCCCCTCTTTTTTAACTCAAGAATACGTCAATTTTAGAAATTCTTATCATGTAAACCTCTCATTTAATATTAAACTGATGATATAGACTAATTCATTATTTATAATATTATTTTTTCTATTTCCTACTGGAAGAGTTATTTTCAGAATGTAATTTCTTCATGAAATATTGATTTAAATTCACCAGAAAGTTTTAGAAAATATTCTCTACAAAATCTTATACATGTAGTTATTGTTCTTAGGCAACAAGAGTCAATAGTATCCACTGGGCCATGACATCAGAATTCTCATGTTGAGTGAGATTCTTACCCACAGCACCTAATGACCTGGCAGTGATGGTGAACAGTCAATTAGGCACAATGATTTTAAGAATAAGTCAGTTAGACATGTCACTTTAGACACACTCATGTAGCGCTCTTTTAAGTTAAACACAGTGATATCAACATACCTACAATTCAGAACATATTCATTAAGGACCTAAATGACAATGATACAGCAGTAACAAGGTCTGGAAAGGTTTCTGATTGGAATTGGTATATATCAAAATACATGACATACCCAGACAACAAATTACAGGTTTTGTCAGAAGACTTTCTTTGTTCATTTCTTAGTTTCAACATAATAACTACAGTAGAAATCAATGGTTTTAAAGTAGAAAAAGAGTCAGAAATGTATAACTAATAAGTTATTATTGAAGTAAGTATCCTGGATAAGAACATATAGCTAATGATATAATCAATGTTAACAGAACACGTTATTATTAAACACTTGACAATCAATATACACTACCATATAAAATCTTATAATATAAATCAGATTGTCAACTAAATAACACACTTTGTTTTTATTCACTAAGCAGGCTGAAATACTCAAAACCATACATTAATAAATATTGAAATCATTATTCAAAAGAATAACCCATAATGCCTCTTCCCTCTTGTGAAAATTATTTTGTAATTTTGAGATCCACAACAAGGATAAAAGACAGAGTCAACCAAAAATAAAGGCCATACATCTTTAATAAGATCAACCAATCAGAAACCAGTTTTAATAAGATCAACCAATCAGAAACCAGTTTTAATAAGATCAACCAATCAGAAACTATCATATATAATGAAACCATGCAATCAGAAACTATCAGGTTTAATAAGATCAACCAATCAGAAACTACCAGGTTTAATAAGATTAACCAATCAGAAACTACCAGGTTTAATAAGATCAACCAATCAGAAACCAGTTTTAACAAGATTAACCAATCAGAAACTATCAGATATAAGAGACCATCCAATCAGAAACTACCAGTTTTAATAAGATCAACCAATCAAAAACCAGTTTTAACAAGATCAACCAATCAGAAACTATCAGATATAAGAGACCATCCAATCAGAAACTATCAGGTTTAATAAGATCATCCAATCAGAAACTACCAGGTTTAATAAGATCAACCAATCAGAAACTACCAGGTGTAATAAGATCAACCAATCAGAAACCAGTTTGATTCTGTACATTGAAATCCCACTTCAGACAAAATACTAGAAGAATCTTGGACCTTAAAGATAGATCAATAGTCAGGAAACATGTTCACACCGTCATGAATAGTACTTAATCAATCTGTAGAGAGTAACGAGTCGTCAAACCTTGTCTGTTATTGTTAAATCACCGATATAGAACCAAGATTATCAGTAATTACCATCGCTACTTCAGTCATCATGTCATTTCCTATCATTAATCAATCGCTACTGAAGAGTTCCAATGAACCTT